AGAACCAAATGGTTCCAAGCAACTTCACCCCTAACACATGAAAATAGGGGAAAGATACAATGAGAATCAAATACATGGATTCTCTACAACCTGATCATAATCAGAAATAGTACCTAATAGTCCACATTATCTATCAAACAAAAGGAGAGAAAATTAGAGGAAGACATTAAGAATTTGATATCATCACAGTGAATTGAGCAACTATCATCTTTATCCTGTAGACCCAGTAAAGTTGAGAGCAGTGTCTTGTTCTTTACCTTGCAACAGGCTTCTCTCCATCCAAGTTGTATCATCATCTGCATTGCCCAACTCACAACCCATAGCTCAACATCTCTCTTAGTGCCTTCATGCTTCCTTGACTCTTTCCACTGTTTGACTCTTGCATTATCTCTCCAGGCCAGACATTCCACTTTCAGGTAGCCAGAAGGTGACAAAGAGGCACTGACAGAGAAAGTCTGTCCTACCTTTAAGGAGTTGGTCTCCTTATTCACTTCTCCTCCAGCATCATCTTTATGATTCCCCTCCTTCAATTTTTCCAGACTGCCACAGTACTCCATCCATTCAAGTTTGGCTTCTTCCACTATGTATTTCTCCCCTCTCCATTCCTTTCTGAACAACCAGACATTTCTGGTTTTCCATAACCACCACAACATATACACACTAAGGCTTATTTTGTCCTTCATGCAGCAGGCTCCTCTTTTTGAGCAGATTGTCTCCCACCAGATTCTGAAATTAATCATGATTTGATTAATTAAATTAAATACACAACAAATGAATAATATTTATTAAGTAATATTTAAATTAATATTGTCATTAACACTATTTTTTAGAACAGTTTTTTGCAAATCGCATAATGGTTGTTGTTGTCGATATTTCCATAATTGTAGTAATTATTTGTAGGTTGAATAAATCTGTCGGATTTATAAAATTTGCGTAATTAAGGTATATTAAAAATGCATTTCACAAAAGAATTATACGAAAATATAAAACACTTATTAAATTATAAATTACACAATTTAGTTGGAATTTTTTTACCAAATCACATAATTGATAATGCAGGCGAAATTCACATATTTGGATAAATCAGCAAAATTCACATGATTTGAGTAATAAAGGTATCCTAAAAATAATTTTTTATGACTTAATTATTTCCTTAAATAATGAGCCGCAATTTCTATAAGTGATTATTTGAAATACACCATAAATTAATTTCCCAAAATAGTAAATATAATATTTTTGGAGGGAAATAGTTACTATTTAAAAAATAATCAAACCTTTACATATATATATATATATATATATATATATATATATATATATAGATCATAAAGTATTAAGTATCAAATATAAAATCATATTGCAAAACATATCCTCTATACCCTAGCCCCAAATCGTCGCCCAATCTCCACCCTTTCTCCCCAAAATTTCCGTCAATTGCCTTCTTCGGTGATGATAAGATTCCGGCCAATTGTCGTTACTGACCGCTCGGCCCGCCCTTAGCTTCGCACGTCTTAGATGTCTCTACAGGTGTCGCGATTGGGGCTTTTCTTCGTCGCCCGCGAGTTTGGGTCGTGCGGTGGAGCTTCATCTATCGGAGTCGAAAGGTCTCCCCTTGGTTGCCAGTAGTCTTCGATTGGAGGAGGGAAGCTTCGACCTTCTTCTGGCTGGTATATCGGAGGTCCAACAGGTTGGCCTCGCTATTAACGGCGGGGCATTTGGTGGTTTGGGCTTGGATCGGCGGCAGTTTGCAGGGGTGTTGGGAGGAGCGTGAGTCGGGGGTCGGGTCAGGACTCTGGATGTCGTGGCGGCCCTGCTGCGGTGATTGGGGTTGAGGGAATGAGCCATCCTCACCCTCTCCTGTCGAGTAGTGGTGTAGGCGGTGGGGGACCTGATTTTCCCGAGCTCGTCTAGTGGTGTTAGATGGGTTCGGGCCGGGACTGGTGTGGGGGCGGAGTGTTTTCCTCTCGGTAGGTGACTGGTCGATTCTGGGATTGGTTCGGGCTCAGAGTTGGCTATTGTATAGGCGGTTGCGCAGTTTCGGTAGTAGTTCTTCGGGCTTGGAATCTCTCTTGTGTCGATTGTTCACTGTTGGTTGGGTCGGTTCGATTGCTGAGGAAGGGCTTTGTGTGTTCATGTTTTTGTAGTAATTATTTTGTGTTGTTTGTGTTGTTCTTGTGTTTGATAATGTGTTTTCGGTTTGGGCCGTTGGCCCCTGTGTGCCCGAGTGTCACTTTATTACTCTGTGGGGGTCCGACACTCGTATATTACCCTGTGGGGGTCTTTGTGTCGTGTTGTTGCTTTTTTGTGTATTTTAGTGTTGTTGAGTATTACCCCGTTGGGGTCGATTCTAGGCGGTCTTTTGACCTGTCCTCCCAGTTTTCTCTGGTGTTAGTTGTTTGTATTCAGCTGTTGGCAGTTTATATTCGGCTGGTGGCTGTAATTTTGCGCATTTTTGCCCTTTTTATAATATATCTATCGTTTAAAAAAAAAGATCATAAAGTATTCTATAGCATCTTAATTTGAAATTAGTCATCAAAACTTACTCATAGCGTCATCATTCTTTTATTTCGATTCTTATATCACTGTTTATCCTTCAGGAAGAATATCAAGAATTTATTGTCAACTTGATACTTACATCGTTGTTGATCATTCAAGGAGTATTTAAAAATTTTACTGTTAACTTATAGAAGATCCTTCGGGAAGCGTATAAAAACTTCATTTCCAACTTATAGGCTATTGATAAATGAAATTTAGATTGACATCTTATAGACAACCGATACATTTTCCAAATTATTCTATCCATCAATACTTAATTTTAATGTCCTTCTGGGACTATTAGTATTTAACTGAATCTTTTAAAGTTGGATAGATAAATATTCTTTAATAATGATTCATACATGAACAATTCTATCGTGTCATCCGACCATATAACAAAGATGATCGTGAATTGAGCTATCTAGCATCGATAATATATATAAAATATTCCAACCATATTTTTTTATATAATATTCCTCCCAAATATAGTAGTCATAGTAACAATATCACATGAATTCTTTTAGCACTAGAATCATTAAACAGAAACACTTTTCAATTTTTTAAATCATGTCAGTGAAACTATAACTTTGCAGATTATATAATTCATCCTTTAGTCCATAATTTTTAAACGACCATATAATAATTAAATAATGACAATTTTTTACATAGATGTATCTCATCTAAGATCATATAAATAATTTTCAAGTCCATATATGCTCAATATATAACTAGTACATATTTTATAACTCAAATCACCTAATCTTTCATCTCTCACATTTCTATATACATACTAGATTTAGAAATTTATATAAATAATTTGTGCTGCAAATAAATCTAGAAAATTTACTGGGACTAGAAAACCAAACACATTACGTTATATCAAAATATCAGAGGAACATCATATCTTCTATGTCCGCAACTATTTTCTAAAATTGTATGTGTTGCAGTTCACAAAAACATTTCTGCAGTGCACATACTTACTTGAAAATATCAAACAAAATTACATATGTAGATTTTTTACTCCATTTTTTTTCCTGAGAATACAAAACATAGATACTAATATCATATCCAAAATTCGTAACAAAATAACATTATCATCCACAACAAATATTCAAATATTAATACAGTGGAATTCACTGAATTTTTCAGCATCGAACACATTGATGTTAAAGTTTACAACAAATAACTTATGTATCATTTGAAATTCAAAATTTTAATAGGTCATCTACCCCCAGAGTTGCACCACATATCCGAAATTCAGGATAAAATGAGTTATTATAGATTTATAACAATTTTTTTAAATTAACTCACAAGTACATGACAGTACAACCACACAATCAGACTCATACAAAAAATCATCTACCATACTTTTGTAGATATTGGAATATAAATAAATTGATAAAAACTAATATATCATTATTATTGATATTGAATAGATCTTGAAAGTTACTTTGACAGAAAAGTCACGATTATTTTCTAGCGCATACATCAATTCTCGATTGTTACCTTGATTGTCTGTTCGACTTAATGCCAGTGGTGTTCGCTTAGATGGTAGAGTACTCGTGCTGATAACGTGTTGTAATATAGATATAGATCATCGATAAGAATATAGAGAAAGAGATAAAGCAGTAGGGGAGAGTGAAGAGAGAACAATAGAGAAGAGAAAGAGATAAAGCAGTAGGGGAGAGTGAAGAGAGAACAATAGAGAAGAGAAAGAGATAAAGCAGTAGGGGAGAGTGAAGAGAGAAGAATAGAGAAGAGATACAACGTAAAACCTATCATCTTTTTTAGTATGAATGATGAAATATGAATTGAGAAACTTTATAAACAGTAANCGAAGTACCTGGAGGAGCCCAGCGCCGGCTCGACGGCGATCTCCCTCTGGCCCGGGTTGACGAAGCAGGCGGCGAAGAGGTCGCCGGAGCTGGGGTCCTCGAGGCGGATCTCGCAGCGCGAGTTGCAGAAGACGACCCGGAGGCGTCCGGTCCAGATCTTATCGGACTGGAGCCACTCTCCGCACTTGTAGCCGCCGCTGGTGGGGCGGGGAGGGATCTTGAACACGGAGACCTCGCGGACGACGAGGAGCGCGTGATCGAATGCTTCCTCGTCCTCTTCGTACGACATCGTTTGAGGAGGGAGATTACAGGTCTTGTCCGGAAGTCGGATTGATTTCAATCGTTACAATGTCGGTAGAGAAAATGTTGAAGCAGCAGAGATGGAGAGGGGAGAGAACTGCGAAGGGATACCGAAATGATAAAATCAACCGAGTCTGAGAGGGTTTGTGATGCGGGTCGGGTGCTCACTCGGACCCAATGAGTTAATCCGCGTGACCCGTTCAAGTTAGTGACATCTTACCCCAAAATTGACTATAGATGTTAATCGTTGGGTGGGTATAACTTTTTTTTTCAAAAAAAAATAAATGCATTCATACTTTTTTTTAACGAAACGATAGAGATATTATTAAAAAAACTCAAACGAACCACTACACACCTTCACTCAGAGAATAATAAAACTGTAGAAAACGCAGCCGCCGATCTAGCCTAGAAAGATAAAAGTGACAGCGCTCGTGAGTACATGCTAGCGCGCCAAATCAGAGCAATGGGCGTGGAGAAGGAGCTTCTGAGAGCCGGCACAGGTCCGAAGCCTGTCCCCGGTCAAAACGTCACCGTTCACTGCACCGGATTTGGTAAAAATGGCGATCTGGCTAAAAAGTTCTGGAGGTGAAATTTTCAATTTTTCCCCCTTTTTTCCATTTTGTTTTTGCCTCTGATGTCCGATCAATGGAGGAATATTTGTATCCTGAATGTCTGATTTGATGTTCGAATGTTGTATTTGGGTAACAGCACTAAAGATGCGGGACAAAAGCCTTTCACTTTCCAAATCGGCCAAGGCAAAGTTATCAAAGGTATTTTCACTACTGGTAAAATAGATATTTATTTTTCTTTTACCGTTTTTTAAATAAATATACTCTGCTATGAGTATGTCATCATGTGAGCCGCGAAAAGATTGGGAAATTGGGTGCGTGTGATGGAAAATGGGGTTTTCTGGGTTTGCTGAATGTGTGTTTATTTGAAACGTGGGTTCAGCCAGGATTTGAGGTGAGGAACTTTTTGAATTATGGGGGGCTTTTGTCAGGATGAAATTTTATTTTAGGAAATAGAAAACAATAAATGACAGCACAGAAAATTCATTGAAAAATTGAGTCTTAATTGGGTCAAGCAATTCCTAATTCTTGTGAGCTAAGACGCTAAATCGTTTGGTTTTAACTATGACTCTATTGGGGTTTGGATTATGCATCTGGTTAAGCTATCATTTGATCTTTCTTGTTCTGTTCAAGGGTAACCACAAACTGACAATCTTAACTTTTGTTGGAACTCTGAGGTCAATTTTAGCTTTTGATCATCATAAGACAAGTCAAAAAATGTTAGTCCATTTGGGTTTTAAAGTGGTTTGGTGGTATCCAATTTCTCGAGATTCTTGAGATCCCAGGACGTTTAGGACAGTATATTGTTTGTGTTGTCATCATAAATCGTATATTTTATGTTACTTTATGTAGAAATAATTGGTTCCTAAACATATGTTCAATGTTACAGGTTGGGATGAGGGGGTATTAGGGATGCAAGTGGGAGAAGTTGCTCGTTTGCGGGTAATTACATGCAAACATCTGTTTTCTCTTATGTTTTTCTTGCAGGAATATCTTAATGCTTCAATAGTAAATGACAAATGAATATACTTTACTGTCCCAGATAATTTCATTTCTATCATCCTATCAAGATTAGCTTTCCTGTTTTTGATATCTTGATTCTATGATTGAATGTGTTGCATGCTCTTATTCGCATTGAGCCACATAACAGAAGGTAATTTCTATGTAATGTTGTTTGTCTATGGCTAACTAACCAAACTAAGAGCTTTATTTAAATACTTGATTGAAAGTGTACTTTCACTTTCTATTTACAGATACTGAATACATGTAAGTTTTCTAACTTTTGAATAATGTGCAGTGCTCTCCTGATTATGGCTATGGGCCCAGCGGTTTTGCAGCTTGGGGCATTCAGCCGAACTCGGTTCTTGTTTTCGAGATTGAAGTTCTGAGTGCTGAGTAATTAACCAGGTTGTCTAACTTTGTGCTCGTGCTAGAAAATAAATGGGCAGCTTTTGGATTTAAGTGCTGCACTTCTGTTGTGTACTTGAGCGTGTGGAGAATTTCAACTTTGTGAAAACTGTGTTTGTTGGATGGCTTTCAACTGGTTTCTTGTCTAATTCCCAATATATATTATCTTAACAATCAAGTTGATGAACTATATCCACAGAAGGGAAGAGAAAGAAGAATAATGGCATCATAAATTCAAAGAATGTATTGGATTATTGAGATCCATTCTTTTCGTATTTTCCCGCGGATGTTAGGTAGGTCTAATGGTGGTACGTTTTTTTTTTTTCAACAAATATACATACTTTTAAATTGAAATATCATACTTTAATAAAATATCATACTTAAGTAAAAGTATGACTGTTATGATAAAATGCACTTTTGCTAACACATTATGATGGGTTCACTTGTATAGTGGCTAGTCAGAATCACATGTTAGCAAGAATCACACGGAAATTTGTGTTATATCTTATCTGGATGGTTTATGCTAATAAAGTGGATTAAGTGTCTTAAACTTATGATTAGATGTTTGAAATTGAAAGCCATAAATCTTGGTAATGATGAACCATACATTGCGGCACGAGTTGAGGAATGAGCCCCTTAGTAGGGTGGCCTACTCAGTATGAGAGTCTCTCAAATCTTATTGTAGTTCCACCTCTTGTTTCCTCTGAGTTCGATAAAAATATCGTGTGAGATAATTGTTGCTAATCATCAACATATATCCTATATATGTTATTTTTGGTCCAAGACTAAAATTGATATTACACTTGGAATGCAAACCATAATATAGCCAACGGAATGAAGTAAGCTAGATCCTTGTTGTAGCCAACGCATGATATTACACTTGGTATCACCAAACCCTAACTTTACATGGTATATACATTCTATACTGTTCTTGTTCACAGGACACCACTATCATCTTCCTGATATTCACTTAGGCATCGAAGGCGCTCTTTGTCGGAATCACCTCCGACGTTGAGTTCTTGCAGGTACACGCGCGGCGATTCAGGGAGATCGTAGCTCATATCTATCGATTCTACCCAGATCTCATCAAATTCATAAAATGATAAGATAATAATTAGTGATTATAAATATATGAGAAGGTAATATATAGTATATTTTTAGTTCTTTTCACATTTTCTTGTTTGAACTTTAAATTTCTATGTAAGTACATCTTGTTAAATGTTTGAATTTTAAATATTCATATTGCACTATTAGATTAATATCTTGTTTGAAAGTACTTTTCAAATGAACTTTTGGATGTAAAACTTCATTTGAATAATTCATTTATATGTGGTGTTAAATCAAAAATAAATTTATGGATAAGTTGCTTATATAAAAACTCCATTATATATAAGTAAAATATGAGAATTTTTAGAAAATTTCTATTTTGCAAATTCATTTAAAAAGTGGAAGTTAACAAAAATACTCTAAAATAAGCACTAATCTATGGCAATTTACGTTCTAATTAAATGTTTCAACTTCAAAGTCCAATTGTGCACCACTAGATTGACTCTTTCACATTGCATGCAATGTAGATATTTGGTATAGTTTGCATGTCACTGCCAAGAAATAATTCAAACTGCAAGTTAATCCATTATTAAAAAGAAAATGAAAGAGAAAATAATTAAAAGTTTGGGGATGCATATTTTCAAGGCAAAGCATCATGGGGCTTTGTGTAATGATGTAAGAACAATGTGCCTTGATAAAATCTGAAATTATGGCAAATAAATTAGTATTCGCAATTGTGAATGCCCTTTCTAAGTGGCTGCAGCTTATTAGCTAATTAATTCGTAGCTCAAAGTGTTGAGTAGGTATCTCTTAATCTCAGTTCTTATAATTAGACCGATGTATTAAGACAACTTTATTTGATTATTTCTTAAAGGTAGCAAATCTTAATTACAGACTCGATTAATTAGTGTTATTATTATTATTTTCTTTATTCGCGTGAGCTGATTGCTTTTTATATCGTACAAAGAGTCGTGTGTTATGCATAATTTTCAAAAAAGCATATGGTGGTTACTCATGACTGTAGTTTTATGAGATGTGTCGTGCTTTGTAGACTTTTTCATATAACCTAATTAGATTAGATGAGAATTTATTTACTTAATTTTCTAAATTTTTAACTTTCATTCTATAGGAACTTCTCGTTTATTATTTTCTTCTAACTAGTTTATTAATTTTTTTTTTTCAGATCCTAATTCTATTTATCCAAAATATTGAATCAACTACTTTGAAAACACAATAGTAATTCGAACGAATAATCATCACATAAATGACCATATTTACAATTCCATTATATATACTTATGTAAGAAAATATGAAATTCGAACGAAAAAATTTAATATAATATATCTTAATGGCAATTTCAATGGATATTTGTATGCTATTATGTCCGTTGGAATGAATTTTTTTATTACATTTTTAAATGTAGATTTTACAACGGTTGCAACATGGAACGAAAAAAATAAATAAATTTGCATATCCAGTGAAATTTCCTACAACAATAATAAAAATAATTGTTTGAAATTATCAAGTTTCATCTAAAATTATATATAAGAGAAATATAATTCTAAATAAATAATTTTAATTCCAATTAAAATGTTCTATGGATTTTTATTGAAATATTTTATTGTTGAAACTTGAAATATGGTAACTCTTTTGTAGTGTTGACACTTGTAACATAAATATGAATTTCAATACAAATATTTTTTCATTGTTTTTTATTAGGGAAAACAATTAACAAATGAACAAAAGGTGTTAAGATAGGGTTTAGTTATTTTAGTAAGATATATTTGGTTTGATATGATCTTGATTTGGTAGTAGTTATTTTGGTAATTAGATATTTGATTTGATCTTGATTTGATTTGATCTTGATTTGTTTTTTATCTCTTGCAACATCTATATATTTGATGTAATCTCACTATTACGAGTAAATGAAAAATACACATCTTTCTCTTCTCTACTCTATGCATTCTCTCTTAGTTTTAGCATGGTATCAGAGCCATGGTTTATCACCACTACTGTCCTGATTAACATATTTTTTCTTTTCTTTTTTTCAGTCATGCCTTCTTCTCTCCGGACTGCTCTCCGGGCACGAAAAAAAAAAAAAAAAAAAAAACTCTGGTTCTTAGATGATTAAATATAATTGATCAAAACCTTTGTCCCCTGTCCTTTTGTCCTTCATTCCTTTGGTCTTTCGGTCCTTTGGATATTAAATATAATTGATCAAGTCCTTTGTCCTCTGTCCTTTTGTCCTTCATTCTTTTGGTCCTTCGGTCCTTTGGATATTAAATACAATTGATCAAGTCCTTTGTGCTCTGTCATTCAGTCCTTCAATCCTTCGGTCCTACGGTCCTTTAAATATTAAATACAATTGATCAAGTCCTTCGGACCTCTGTTCCTTTGGTCCTCTGTCCTTCGATCCTTCAATCATTCAGTCCACTTATCGCTCCTGATTACGTTTCTACCAAAGTTCAACTAGCAGACATCTTTACCAAAGCATTGGGTGGCCAGGATTTCTCGAAATTTCTAAGCAAGTTGGGCATTTGATATCTTCATGCACCAACTCGAGGGGGTGTTAAGATAGGGTTTAGTTATTTTAGTCAGATATATTTGGTTTGATATGATCTTGATTTGGTAGTAGTTATTTTGGCAATTAGATATTTGATTTGATCTTGATTTGTTTTTTTATCTCTTGCAACATCTATATATTTGATGTAATTTCACTATTACGAGCAAATGGAAAATACACATCTTTATCTTCTCTACTCTATGCATTATCTCTTAGTTCTAACAAAAGGCAAAACCGCACCGGAATCAAAAACTCGAGCGAACCTTGTGATTTAGTGTGGTACAGTTTAGTTATTTTAGTGTAAAAAATTTTCTGTAATTGCAATAATTTTCTTTTTTATTTTANCAACTTTTGTAGTTTTTGCTGTCGGCATGTTGTCTTTATCTGTATTTGCAATAATTTTCTTTAATATAGATTTGAAAATACAATATCAAAAGGACAAGTTTTATAACTTTTGCACTCACGCACTAAGAATGGTTGTTTACTTTGGATCTTCCGCTAATTTAATCATCATTAGTCTAAATTAAACAAACAAATTATCAGTCAATTGCATGCTTGTCTATAAAGAAACCATTAGTTTTAATAATTTTGTGAAAGATGCCAAGCCAATGGTTAGCCCTTAGACAGTTAGACACTAATACACGATTACGTGTTTTTTTTAATGACTTTTTAATCAGATTAATTATTAAGTAAATCTATGACCTGTAGAATTGAAATCTAGTTTATAATCAAATTAATGCTATATGAACCGAGTAAATTCGAAGCGTGCAGAATTTTGAATTTTTGGTGGAACTTCATATTTTGAAATTAAATTTGACTAACCAAAATTAGACCAACCATTTTTAATTGAGCCGCCTATGTATTGTCTTAACCAATGAAACACTTGTACCGTTACGGAATATGTTACGGGACATAGATATGATACAAAAAATATACAAGGAGTAAAAGATCTAGTACAATATATTTTTAAATTTTAAGGACATACGGACAATAGTATACTTATATTTTAAATAAAATTATATATATTTATATTATCAAAAATGATTTTTTATTATTTTAATTTGTGTTTCAGAAGTTAATTGCTGAATCTTAAAGAAACAAAATCGTATAAATAATAATATATGAATATAATAACACCCAAAAATAAATATATAAAAAAACATATAAACTTCAATAATCAACCATATTATTTTTAATTTAAAAATATTAGCTTATGATTTATGAAATATCGGATGATATATCAAATACGATAAGCGTCCAAACGAATACATCAACTTTACATAAATGTTCGTGCTTTGTAGGTTTTAACCATTTTGATTATTTCTATCTTGATTCTTTTTATTTATTATATAAATATAAAAGCAACAATAGTATAATATTCTTACTAGAAAAGAATTAAAAACAAAGTAACAAGTAATTATTTTTCATTTGAAAAAAAACAATAAAGCCTTTAATAATTCATACAAATAAAACTTGAGCTTAAAAAAAATCAACATCTGGACTACTATTAGAGTATTGGACATGACTAACTCATCAAATAATTTTAATATCACTGTTGTTAAGCATAAATAGCTATTAATAATTTATTTTTCAACTAATATAAATGCCACGATTGAAAACGTAACATAATTAAAATTGTATATTCATAATATAAACATGTAGTTTCGTTCGAAATTTATAGCGAATCGACCCATCTAATTGTTAAATACACTCAAGACGATATTTATGGTAAATTAAGTTCAAACATGAAAGGACTTTAAGTTAAGAATATCGATCGCGAATACGTAAATAGCAAATTGACGAAACTGAAATTGAATTTAAAATCAAAATATTAGGTCCTATTACGTTAGATTTTAATGGTTCAAATAAAAATAAATTCTGCTATAGAAATCATGAAAACTATGTATAAAATATTATGTTTAGTTATGTATAATGTTGTTTTCAATGTTACACATATCTATTATTTTCACATATGTTATTATATATATGGCATGTTGGTTTTAAAAAATAAATTTAAATTAAAAATAACATCTAATATAATTGAAAATCACATTAAACAAAATTAAATATTATTAGAATTTACACATAAAACTTTGGTACTCGTTTCGACCACATCTTATTCCTATTTTTCACATATATACAAGAAAAATATGATAAAGTAAAAAACAAATAAACAAAAGGACGAAAAGGGTACAATGGTCATACAAATTGTTATATAATCAGGGCGCACACCACCATTGTTTGGTGCCTGCTTTTGAGTGCTTTCAGAATTGTTCACCTTTCTCTTTCTTCTCGTCCCATTTATCACAACCTATCTGCACCACACAGAAACTACTACTGCGCGTAGTAAAGATTCAAGCTTTCGACATTCTTGCACCTTGATCTGTAAGTTTTTCTCATAAATTCTCTGTTGATTTGGGCTTATCTGCTTGACGTCTTGTGTACAGAATCTCTCTCTCTCTCTCTCTCTCTCTCATACGAACAATTACTATGAATAATACACATATATGCTTGCGCTCTGTATATTTTCTTTCTTTCTTGATTTGATTTTCTTGGTGGTTTCTTTCACTTGGTTGGTGCATCTCTGATAACTCTATAATTGAAGATTAAGAGAAAAGAGAAAAAAAGGGACAATCTTTTTATGGGTTTCCTTGGATATGATCGTAGTTGAAGTAATTAAGATATTTAATTGAGGCCCCATGAAGTAAAGGCCCAAAATTGTTGTAAAACTACCTAGTCTGCTAGAAATTGCATTGTTTCTCTGTAAATTAATAAACCTTTGAATCTTCACTGTCATATGATTTTTGGATGTCTATGGTTTCCTTTCTAAAGAGTTGTATGAGATTTTCTTCTTCTTCTTCTTCTTTTTTTTTTTAATTATGTGAGAAGTGATGTGTGTGTGTGTGCATAAAATGGTGACATTCTCGTATTACCTTTTCTTGATCCCATCATTTTCAGTTAGATTGTTCTTAGACAGATTTATTGACTTTCTCTCACTATAGATTTGTTTCTGTAGTTTTTTTGTTCCAAATGCTAACTAATGAATCCTGTTAAAGCTCATGAACACCACTTTTGCTGCTGTTTCAGGTGCTTTTGGCGGAGTATAATATTTTTTCATAGACTAAAAACAAGAAAGATAAGCTGGAATGTATAATTGACCATTATGCGGTGGCTGAGCTTGTCGATTGATGTGTTCCGTTTTGTTATCCCCTTGAATTTGTATTGCAGAGTTATTCTATAAATTCACATCCTCTCATTGAACTACACCCTTTGTATTTCGCAATCTTTTTGAGTCGAAATCCATGGGATCCAATCACTTCCCCTCATGTGTCTGTTTCTTTTATATTCTATAAATTTGGCCAACAGTTTCTCAATTTAGTCTTCCACTTTCTCGATTTTGGCTAGCTTTTCATTTCTCGACTAATTAGTTCTTTTATACTGGAATTTGTCTTTCAGATTTTGTTCTCTTTTTCATTTATTTAGCTTGGATTAAACGAACGTTCTAATTTTCATTCTGAAAGTACTCTAAAAAAGTCGAGAGTAGTTATGGTGTGCCAAGCAGCGAGCCAGACGAGGTTCAGGGCACTTAAACATGAGAATGGGATTTCTGGAAAAACAACCATTATTGTTAGAGTTATAGAATGCTTTCAACATCTACAGAACTGCCAGGTTTGTTCACTGTATTTTTCGCATTATCAATTATTTTTTACGGTAATTGTAAATGGCTGCTGATTATGCCTTTTTCTGTTCATTATGTATTTCAGGCTGAATATTTCCGCCACTTGCTGAAACCCGTCACGTAGAATTTATTTGCTCCGAAATTCCTTTTTCTCATTTGAAGCTAGCCTACATATTTTGTGCGTTTTCCATTCTTTTTCTTCTTGTTTTGTTTCGGTTTATCCATAAAAAGCAATCCTATCGGCAGACTAACTAAGATCGTTATATTCTGGTAAGTGAGTGATCCCTTTTTCAACATTACTTTTTACATTCCTTATTCAAAACTTATTTTGGCCACTTTAATTTAAACAACTGTCTAAATCTTGCATCCCAGATTGCTTTTTTCGGCTGGATGTTTACAGCTAAGGACTCTCAAACATTTCGGCAGTTATCTGCTCCTAAATTACCCGATCTTGATCGAATGGCACATGTTGCATTTCATGAACAGACTAATTCTTATTTACAAGCCGGTGAGTTTTTCAAATTCCCACCTCAGCATTGGAATATTACCTACCCTGCTGAAAAACCCGGCTTCAGAAATTCCCAAAATGCCCTTCCACATGGGCTCGGGATTCCGGAGAAGCCAGTCGATCCTTCTCACTTCCCTCGAGAAAAAAAGTTTCTTATTTTCGATCGATCAGGTAATCACACTACTTATTTTTTTAGCCCTTCCATTTATTCCCCGCCAAATACCGTTATTGCCCCCGGAGATGAAAAATTGGCAGCTCGAGCAGACCAGCTGCCGAACCCGAATTCTTTATTTGAAGAAAAATGGGATGAGAATTGTTTGAACGGTAATGGAGAAGATGAATTGATCGATGATAGTGAAGAAATCAATGCTCTTCTAGACTCTGATAGTGATTATGATGATGATGATGAGAATGATGATGAAGATAATGATGAAGTAACTAGCCATGATAAGGAAAAATTATTTGACGGGCTCATAGAGGAAGTCGCAAGTTGCGATTTTTCGCCAAAAAGGTTACGGTTACTTGACGGTGGGTACAAGAAATTATCATCATCATTGGTGAATTCGGAAAGTTTCGAAAATGGGGATGTTAGCTCGTGCAATTACGAGAATGATTTTAATTCGAGTAAGAGGGACAAAAAGGTAAAGATACGCGAAACGTTGAAAATTCTTGGAAGTCTTGTTCCGGGATTGGAAAGTAATAAAGACCCGGCCACCATAATCGAGAAGGCCATTGTTTATTTGGAATCAATGAAAACCGAAGTTGAAGCTCTCGGGCTCACGTGCACCGGGAGCGGATTATCCACTCACTCTTGACAAGGCCCATTTGGGCCGGGCCCGGGCCCCATTGGTTGTGATTGGGAGTTGTTTGGGGCCAATGGGCATAAAAAAAAAAACC